ATTTAATGCAATCATCTACACTTTCTACCTAACTTTGTGTCATCAGCAAATTTGGATATATGACTTTCTGTGGCATTATCCAAGTTGTTAATAAATAATGTGATTGATTGAGGCCCTAACACAGATCCTTGTAGGTCGCAAAAAATGAAATTGCTGGAAAAGCTCAGTAGATCTGGCAGCATCGGGTGGAGAGAAGTCAGAATTAATATTTTGGTTCGAGTGACCCTTCCTCAGAACCTTGTGGGACACTGCTGGTCAGATCCTGTCAATTTGAGTACCTACCCATTATCCCCACTTCCGGTTACCTGTCACTCAACAAATTCCCCAGCCATTAGACGGCACGGTAGCTCAGTGGTTAGCACTGCTGCCTCACAGCATCAGGGACCGGGGTTTGATTCCACCCTCGGGCAACTGTCTGTGTGGCGTTTGCACATTCTCCCCATGTCTGCGTGGGTTTCCTCTGGGTGCTCCGGTTTCCTCCCACAATCCAAAGATGTGCAGGTGAGGTGGATTGGCCATGCTAAATTGCCCAGAGTGTTTAGGGACGTGTAGATTAGGGGAATGGGTCTGGGTGGGATGCTCTGAGTGTCGGTGTGGACTTGTTGGGTCGAAGGGCCTGTTTCCACACTGTAGGGAATCTGTGATTCTATGTTGTCAGTAATTTGCCCTCAACTCCATGGGCTTCTACTGTTTTTAACAGTGTTTTATGTTGGACTTTATCAAAAGCCTTCTGGAAGTCTATATAAACAACATCCATAGACATTCCCCTGTCCATTACTTCAGTCACCTGTTCAAAAAAATTTAGAGAGTTTTGTCAGGCATGACCTACCCGTCATGAATCCATGCTGGCTCTCCCTGATTAACTGAAATGTTTCAAAGTGTCTTTTGTTAGCCCGTCCTTGATTACAGACTATTTCTCCACCATAGATGCTTGACTAACTTATCTTTAATTCCCTGGTTTTCCTCTTTCGTTCTTCTTTAAAAAAGAGTGATGTGCAATTTTCAATCCAGAGGGATGACTCCTGTATTCAGGGAACTTTGAAAGATTATAGTTAGGGCCTTTACAATGTGTTCCTGTATTTATTTTAACACCCTCGGATGGGTTGAGATTTGTCCCTCTTTAATTCCATTAATTTCCTTATATCCAGTGTTTTACTTACATGAATTTAATTCAGTCCGTTCCCTGTACACTGTAAGTTCAGAGGCAATGTAATTATGAATATGTCTGCCGTTTTCCCATAGTTATTGGTATATTCCCACTTCCAGTTTTTAGTGAGCCAGCAGTGCTCCTGACCACTGCTTTCCCTTTTTGATTTTGATATCCCTGACAAGTTTCCCTTTTGTAGCACTCATAAGCTGCTTTGTGACCCTTTGCTGGTCTTTGTATCTTCCCTATTCAGCAGAATCTGTGCTGTTTTTTGCATTTTTGTAACCTCTTTCATTTAGTTTTATGCTGCTTAATTGTCTGTTTAATTCTCCATAGCTGTTTCTTTTCTGTGAAGTGGAGCTTTTCCCTCTCCAGAGAATGAGCTGGTTTTGTTTGTGTTAATGTTTCTTTAACCGTCCTCTATATTCTTCACGTGTTTAAGTATAAGTAGATTTATTGTTGACAGTCTCTGTCTCATCTTATATTGCTGTAGGAAACTATCCCGGAAACAGTCCAGAAATTCACACCCTTTCTGACAGACTCTTGATTGCTTCTCCCAGTCGATGTTAGATTTAAAATCCCCCATTGATACTTGTCTGGCTTTGCTGCACACTTGCCTAATTTCTGCATTTATACAATCTAGCCCTTCAGAACTGCTACTAGTGGGTCTGTACACAACATTTATTACAGTTTTAGATCCTCTACTGTTCCTGAGGACCACGAATACGGTCTCCACTGAATGTGTGACCCCCATTATATCCTCCCTCACCATTGCAGTATATTCGCTTATCATCAGTAAGACTACTCCACCTCCCCCGCCATTTTCCCTTTCCATTCTGTAAACCATATAACTTGGTATATTTAGTCCTCAATCTCAACCATCCTGCAGTCATATCTCAGTAATTGCTACTTTATGATTACCTCCAAATTGGATTTGTGCCAGCAGCTCATTTAATTTAATCCTTACACTCCACGCATTTGTATATAGAACTCTTATTTGGGACATACGTTGTAACCTATGCCTCAGCACTGATGTTTTATTCACCTGTTCATTATTTCTCTTCTCAGTTTATTCAATACACTTATAGTATTGTGCTGTACCTCAAAGTAGGATTCCTAACTGATTTTTACTGTCTGATATTGAAACTGTATAGACTTCCTCCTGAGCACTTCCCCTTGATTTACTAGTTTAAAATTATTGTGACTGCATTATTTAGCCTTGTCACTGGGATGTTGATCCCAGATTGGTTCAGGTGGAACCCATTCCATTGGTACAGTTCCCTGATGTTCCAATACTGCTGCCAGTGTTCCATGAAATGGAATCTTTCTTTCCTGCACCACTCCTTAGGTCACATCTTTACTTCCCTACTTTTCATATCTCTGCGTCAGTTTGCATATGGTTTGGGTAACACCAGAGATTATAACCCTTGAGGTCCTGTTCTTTAGTTTCCTAATTTCTGACATTCCCAAAACAGGAACTCTTGCCTATGTTATTGGTCCCAACATGGACCACAACAACTGGATTGTACCCCTCTCACTCCAATATTCTTTCACAAATAAATCAACACTGACGTTGCATTCTATGAATGAATGTAAACAAAATATGCTTTGGCTTAAAAAGAGTTAAAATTCAGAAAAAGGATAAAATATTGTAAAAGCAAATAATAATAGATCTGCATTTGATTACTTGCAGTACAGATTGAATCTAATCTGACACTCTCTAGTCCAGCAATCCCAGTGGCTTGGCACTCACAGTACTTCAGTTTTCCCTATAGTGTTATATAGTGGCTCTGTGTTGATTGTTCATCTTACATTTTATTACATTTTACGCAGTTTAGATGTAATCTTATTAAGTAACATTGGATATCAATCTTAAATATCATTTAAACTGCTTTTGACTTGGTTCACTTGGATACTGGAACTTCCAGTTTCAAAAGCACTGTATGGAGATTTAATACCAAGGAGGGGCAGCTTTGGGTGGGTGGGGGAAATGGTCTATGGGTCCATTAAATACCTGGGAAGTTAAACCCAATGTTAAGGAGTCACCCATTTAAGATATACATGGGAGGATTGCTTTTTTCTCTCAGAGATAGTGTACCTATAGAATTCTTTACAGCAGAGGGCTGTCAAGGCTGTGATAGACAGATTTTTAATCAGCAATGATGCGGAGGTGCCAGTGTTGGACGGGGGTGGGGAGATGGACAAGGTCAGAAGTCACATGACACTAGGTTATAGTCCAACATGTTTATTTGAAATCACAATTTGAAATACTTTAATCAGTAACACATCAAGGGCTATGGGAATTAAGTAAACAAGTGGAGTTCAAGAACATCAAATCAGCCATGCTGCCACTGAATGACGGAGCAGACTTGAGGAGCTGAATAACCTACATCTGTTCCTACATTTTACGGAAACCTTCACACTGTGAAACTCAATATCTGCAGCCATGCCTATGTCAAAGTGTACTCTTACTGCTTGACTGGTGATTTCCAACTTCTTTGAAATCAGTTCACGTAACCCTAACTTCACTTCCCTCAATCTGCACTTCCTGACTCTCAGCCTTTTTTGTGACATAGGAACAGTTTATGCAACTCTAACTTCCATTGCTGATGAGAAACCATATGAAATTAAACTCCAAAATCAATTGTGTCAAAAGCCATGGGAGCAATCGTATTAACAGTAGGAATAATTGCCTTCTCTTCAACAACATGTAGCTGCTCCACAGACAGAGGGGATGGACGCCAATTTACTTTGCAATAGTCGTAACCCTGAATACAGGCAAAGACTCACATCTATCGATATGTTTGAGTATCAGTATTGCTCTGGTAGTGAAGCACAGTATTGGAGTCAGTATGTACATGCTTTAATAGGTTTTTGTTTACAGAAATATAATAGGTTTTTGTTTACAGAGATAAATGTGACAAACCTGCACATCCCAACTCAATCCTGACAATTTCAATCTGTCCTATCTTCAATTTCTGTTCAAAAAAAAAAGACTTGCTTATCTGGGCAATCTTATTCTCTTACTGTAACGATCACTGCGTTTACAAAATTAAACACAGTCAGTATACATTAACAGTCACTGTCTCATGAGGCTCAATTTTTCACAGCACATTGCTACTGATATCTACATTCTTCTGGATCAGGACCTTTTTCCCAGAGGATCAGAAGGGTAGGTATTGTCAGTAGCTATCAAGGTAGCTAACATTAGAGACCTCCCATTTCCTTAGTTCTCTGCCTTTCCTTGAAGTTTTGCATTTTCCCATCTTTTAAGGGGAGAGAATATAGAATTATTAGCGTGAGAAATGGACTGAGCGAACTGAAGGAATGACAGTATTTGTGGAGAATAAATCAGTACGAGATGTCATAAAGGTGGTGGTGTGAATGCAAGTGTTGGTTGTTCCATTAAGGACATGAAGGAGATGGATTAATGGACGTGCGTGAATTTAAATTCGATTAATTAATAAGCAAACTTTCATCAGAACAGTTTATTGTTTTAATGAAAGGTAATCAAGCTGAAATATTAACAGTTTCTCTCACCACAGATATTGTCTGACCTGAGTAGTTCAAAAAAATTCTTATTTCAGAATTCCACCTTAATCAGAGCTTTGAGATAGAAGGAACTGCCGATGCTGGAGAATCTGAGATAACAAGGTGTAGAGCTAGATGAACACAGCAGGCCAAGCAGCATTAGAGGAGCAGGAAAGCTGACGTTTCGGGTCTGGACCCTTCTTCAGAAAAATCAGTAGAACTTTGCTTTTGTACTGATGGAAAGTTAGTTTATTAAATATGATAACTTCCATCCATCACTAGCTTCACAATAATCAGTGTGCATGCTCTCCTTTTCTTTCAGGATATTCTAATTAAGCTGACTAATGGACACTATCAAATAACACCTCCAAATGCAGCAAGAGGACTCAAAGTGATTAATAATCCACTGTATCTAAAATTTGATTTAAAAATCAGTTCAAAACTTGAACTAACTATTATATGGAACAAGAACATGAATGCTTACATCTCAATTACTAGACTGTCAGAGGTAACTTTCAGTCTACAGCTTGATTCAATAACAATCATGTAGTCATTGGCTTTCCAGAATTTCTAACTCTCTTGTATCTGAATTGTCTCTTTATTTTTCACTTGAAATATTTATTATCAAATATTCGATCAGTTTTCCTTCCAATTATACCAAAGTCTCCTTGTGTCTTTTCCATTTAATGCTAGAAATGGTTTGTTATTTTGAGGAAGTTGCTGAAAATGTTTAATCTTTACAGAATCAGAATGAGATTCAGAATAGTATTTATTGCAAAGGTTGTTGAAATGCCTAAATGGAGGGAAATCTAAAGTTTTGTCCTTGAATGGTTTCCATATATTTAGATGTATTTACTCAGATGCATTATTTAGGTCTGGATGTTTAAGCTTCACTAACATGCAATAAAAGTGGGATGAAAAAGTGATGTTGCTGAAACTTTCAATGCTATGAATCATTTCCAATATTTAGTAATGTCATTTATGGACTAGTAAATTTGACTACTGTGCTGCCAGCAATAGTCTTGGTTATTAAAGTAACATCAAATAGAGAGTTTAAAAGCATGTATCAATTTACAAAAAAACTAATTTATCTCACTTTCAAGGAATTCCTTCAACACTAATTTATTTTGTAAGAATTAAATATAAAAGAGGCAAAATCATGAACGGACAGACATTTCCAATGTTTTAAATACATTCAACCATTCTTCATTGTTCTGTATTCTAATATAAAGTTTACAATTCTCACCATTTTTTGCCAACATTCCCTCCTGCCCTATTACTGTTTAAGACTAATTCACTGCTTAGGGTAAGATTGCACAACAGCTGGTAAATATGACTTACATATTTGATGACACATTGTCTTGAGCATGAGTGGCACGGTGGCCCAATGCTTTGCACTGCTGTCTCACAGTGTCAGGGAACTGGGTTTGATTCCAGCCTTGAGTAACTGTCTGTGTGAATGTAGCCCATGACATGTGGCCCACACAGATGTGATGAAAATCAGCTCTTTGTGATGATTAGAAGCACCCGGATTCACCTTATCTGTGCCTCTCATGATTTTATAAATTTCTATGAGGTCACCTCTCAACCTCCTACTCTCCAGTGAAAGAAGTTCCAGCCTATCCAGCCTATTTTGTATAACTCAAACCCTCCATTCCCAGCAACATCTTGGTAAATCCCTTCTGAACCCATTCCAATTTCATAATATCCTTCCTATGGTAGGGCGACCAGAACTGCACACATTACTCACCAACCTCCTGCACAATCTTAACATGACATCCTAACTCCTATACTCAAAGGTCTGAGCGATGAAGGCAAGTGTGCTAAATGCCTTCTTAACCACTCTGTCTATGCAAATTTATAAGAATTATGTACCTGAACCCCTAGGTCTCTTTGTTCTATAACACTACCTTGGATTCTATCATTAATTGTATGAGTCCTGTCCTTCTTTGTTTTATCAAAATGCAATATTTCACATTCATCTGAATTAAACTCCATCTGCCACTACTCAGCCCATTGACTCAATTGGTTAAGATCTCTTTGTCATCTTAGATTACCTTTTTCACCGTCCACTATACCACCAATTTTGGTGTCATCCGCAAACTTACTAACCATGCCTCCTATATTCTCATCCAAATTGTTAATTTAAATGTCAAACAAACGTAGTCCCCATGGAACACCGCCGGTCATAGGCCTCTAGTCTGAAAAACAGCCCACCACCACCCTCTGTCTCCTACTGTCAAGCCAATTTTGATTCCAGTTGGCAAGCTCACCCCAAATCCCATGTGATCCAACTTTACTAATTAGTCTACCTTGTAAAACCATGTCAAAGGCTTTACTGGAGTCCATGTAGACAATGTCTATTGCTTTGCCCTCATCAATCTTTTAGATTACTTCCTCAAAAAACTCAATAAAGTTTGTGAGACAAGATTTCCCTTGCTGCCTATCCTTTATCATTCCTAGCCTCTCCAAATGCGTGTAAATCCTATCTTTCAGAATCACCGCCAACAACATATCCACCATTGATGTCAGGCTCACAGGTCTATAGATCCCAGCCTTCTCCTTATAGGCTTTCTTAAATAAAGGCACAACATTAGCCACCCTCCAGTCCTCCAGCTCACCACCAGTGGTTATGCATTATACAAATATTTCTGCTAAGGGACATTTAATTTCTTCCCTAACTTCCCACAACGTTCTGGGATACAGTTGAACAGGTCCTGGAGATTTATCTACCTTTATGCTTTCTAAGACCTCCAACACTTCCTCTTCTGTAATGTGAACTGTTTTCAAAGAGTAGATATTTATTTCCCTGAGTTTTCTAGCCTCCAGCTGTTTCTCCACAATAAAAACTGATGTGAAATATTCATTTAATGTGTCTCCCATCTCCTGAGGTTCAACACATAGGCGACCTCATTGATCTTTAAGGGGCCCTATTCTCTCTCTTGTTGCTCTTTTGCTCTTAATGTAATTGTAGAATCTCTTTGGATTATGTTTAACTTTATTTGCCAAGGCTATCTTCTTTGCCCTCCTGATTTCCCTCCTAAGAATGCCTCTACATTCTTTATACTCCTGAAGAAATTCATTTGATCTCAGTTGTCTATATCTAATAGATGATTCTTTCTCATCCTTGACTAGAACCTTGATTTCTTTATTCATTTATGTTTCCTAATTTTACCAGTCTTATCCTTCACTCTAATATGAACTTAATGCCTCTGAACTCTTGTTATCACACTTTTGAAAAGCTCCCACTTGTCAGTTGTCCTGTGAGCAGTGTACTCCAATCAACTTTTGAAAGTTCTTGTCTCATACCATTAAAATTTGCCTTACTCCAATTAAAAACTTTAACTTCTGCGGAAAGCCTAACCTTTTCCATAACTATTTTAAAACTAATAGAATTATAATCACTCCTCCCAAAGTTTTCCAATACTAACACTTCAGTCACTTTCCCTGCCTTACTTCACAAGAGAAGGTCAGGTTTTGCTCCTTCTCTAGTAGGTACATTTACATATTTGTAAAGAAAATTTTCTTGAACACATTTAACAAATTCCTCACCATTCAAGCTTTAACACTGTGGCAGCCTCAGGCAATGTTTGGAAAAATTAAAATCCCCTACTATTACAACCCTATTGTTGTTACACATATCTGAGATTTCTCTACATCTTTGCTTCTCCATTTCCCTCTGACTATTGGGAGGCCTATAGTACCATCCCATCGAGGTGACCATCCCTTTCTTATTTCTAATTTCTACTCACGTAGTTTCACTGGACAGTCCTTTAGAAATATAAAAGGGCCACTCAATCTCCTCTCCTGCTTCCCTTTCTATCCTTTTTAAGCATTGAAAACCCAGAACTTTGAGCTGCCAGTCCTGTCCTTCCCTCAGCCAAATTTCTGTAATAGCTATGATATCCAAGTTCCATGTTCCCAGACATATCCTGAGTTCATCAGCCTTATCTGTAAGACCCCTTGCATTGAAATAAATGTAGTTTAATTCTTCAGTTACCTCATTTTTGGACTTGCTTTTGTCTGCCTTTTCTACATCGCCCTTTTCTGATTCAAAGAAACATCCTCATCTGTCTTTCTGTTTTTACTGCTACTTAGGAACCACCCACCCCACTTCTCTGCTAGTTTAAGGGCTCCCGAAATAGTACTGGCAAATCTCCCTGCCAGGATTTTGATCCCTTCCCAGTAACAGGTCTTTACTGCCCAGAAGACATTCCAATGATCCAAAATATCTGAATCCTTGCATATTGCACCATCTCTTCAGCAGTTGATTTATCAGCCCTATCTTTTTATTCTGACTCTCATTAGAGTGTGGCACTGCGAGTACACCAGTGATTACTATCTATGAGGTTCTGCATTTTAGCCTTCGACCTAACCTCTTATTCATTCTGCAAAGCCTTAACCCTTTCCTTAACTATGTTGATCTTACCAATGTGTATAACTTCTGGCTTCTCACTCTCCTCTTTGACAACACGATTTAGCCATTTTGGGACGTCCTTAACCCTGGCACCATACTATTCCTAGATTCATGCTCAGGCTGCAGAATCTCCTGTCTGTGCCCCTGATAGGAGAGTTCCCTGTAACAATTATTCTTTGGAATCTTCACAAACCCCGCTTGATATAAGATTCATTCTTGGTGCCCAAGATCTGACTGCCCCTTCTGTTTACCTCTGAGAGGCTATCCCCTTCAATAGTATCCAAAATGGAATATCTGTTTGACAGTGGAAGAGCCACAGGAGACTTCTGAACTACCTTATTACCTTTCCTAACAGCCACTCATCTATCTGACTGATCTAGTTGTATAACCACCTCTCTGAATGTACTGTCACACTCTGTATTTCTTGCATGCCCTCAGTGAAATCATTCCTAAAAAGAAGAAATTCTTAAAAGCACCTTATATGTAAAAAAAACCCTTCCTTACCCACAAATTTTAATCTTCAGCATGCAAAAGATAAAAAAAAGCAAAATCTTAAAATAAAAACAAGCACTTAGCTGAAACTCTCAACTGAAAAAAAGATTAACTGCCATATTGGTTAAGCTGTATACTTTGTTAAGCTCATTAATTGATTTCAATTCTTAGGCATATGATCGCAATGTTTTAACATTTGAAAAAATTATGTTCTATCACTTTTCCAGTTCGCAGTGTGTGGACTATGTGGTAATTACAATGGTAATGCAGACGATGAATATGTAACGCAGAATAAATACTTAGTTTCCAATGTACTGACCTTCGCGAATTCTTGGAAGGAAGATCCTACATGCAGAGATGTGACTGAAGTTGTATTTCCATGTCACAAAAATCCATATCGTTTGGCCAGAGCTGAAAAAATGTGTGCTATAATTAACAGTAAGGTGTTTGAGCCATGTCACAAGCTGGTGAGTGTATTATGAGTCATATATCGTCTTGTAGTATTTTATTACTGTGCGAAACTGAGCATTTTTAGGGGTGAAGTTTGTCAATTTTTCTCATTTTGACCCTGTAACTTTGGAAATTGGATGAAAAAAAGAAACATCCAGCTATGTGCATAAATAGGGTTTCCACAAAGCTTCTGGATAAGTTAAGCTGGTGGAGTGGGCACAACCCTGAGAACATCACCCCTTTTATCTGTTAGTTTACAATTTGGACTCTTTTTATTGTTACCCACAGGATTTTTAGCAATGCTCACAGGGTGTAGATAAAGACTGTTGAAAAATGGGAGAAGCGTGACCTAGTAGAGATCTTTAAAATTAGGAACAGTGTGGATATGGAAAAAAAACTTTCCTGTTGTGAGGAAGAACATATCTAGCAGCCATCAATAGTAGGTACTCACTGAGAAGTCCAAATCAAAATTCAGAAGAAAGAAACCATCTTTACCCAGAGAGCAGTAAGAATATGCCACAGGAGTGGTCCAAGTGAATACTATAGATGCATTTAAAGGGAAGTTTAACAAAGTATCTGCAGGAGATGATTACATATGTAGGGTTAAATGAAAAAAAAAATAGGAAGAAACCTGAGTGGACCATAACATTGTGCATGCATTTTAGGCTAATTGATCTGGTTCTCATTTAAACCTGCATACTTTTGAAAGCAGCAACTTTGAAGAGAGAGAAAAACAAGTCATGTTACATGCCTTTCCTCTGAAGTGAGGAAAGTGGCAAATTTGACAATACAGAGATAGGATGAGAAAGAAGAGGAGGAGGGGAGATCCAATGGATAGAAGGCAGGAGAGTTTAAATTTCAGATATCCTTTGAAACATCCTGTGATGTGAAAAGTACTACGTAAATGTAAGTCCTTTCTTTTAAACATGATGGTGCAAAAGGGGATGTTAAGTAAAAAAACAAAATGGAAGGAGTTTGAAGTGCCAATTACAGGTACCTGCTGCAAGAAAAATAGAAGAAATAGCTGTGATCTGAAGTTATTAAACTCATTGAGGATGGAGCATCGTAAAGTGCCTCAGGTTTTCAGCATCCATGGTATTCTGGTTTTGTTCCATAAAATGCCCAATTCCAGCTGCAGTGGACTGTAAAATTCAATGAGGTGTGAAAGGGGACAAAGCATCAAAATGTGCAGTTACCCCTTGTCCATTGCTTACAAGGCAAGCATTATATGCACTTTGTTCTGCCCGCTCATTTGAATGATTGCAATGTCCAGCACAAAGCATGGCATTCAGTGCTGATGTGCCGATGCTAGATCCCAGGTTTATGCTAGTTAAATCTAGCCTGCAATACTTGAAACCAGACTCCATCTCTTAGTCGGGAGATGCATTACCACTGAAGTGAATGTTTGAACTGGTTGTAGAAGAGAGTGTGAGCAAGGAGAAGAGTGAATTACGGCACAATATGGCAGAGAGCAGCCTTTTAGATATTCCATTGTTCCATTTAATGCCCTAGTTTAGGAGATACAGAGGAGGAGAGGTGTCATCCATCTACAATAGAACAGGAGACTCTCCAAATACACTAAAAGGAAGCAAAGGATTACAGATAGCTGCAGTGAGTAATACCACAGCTCTAACTTGGAGGAATTGGATTCATGTGCCTCAAGAAATTTGGTGACCCTCATTCCTTTCTGATTGACAAATTGCAAACGGTGGAAACGTGTATTTTTTGTTTTCCTCACCTCTCTTCACCACATCCGGAGCCTTGCAACTTTTCTCTTTTCAGATTTCTGAGAATTGCAACCTAACCAGGCAGAGTGATGTGAAGGGACAGAAAAACAATGAAGAAGAAGATACGTGGTCACGCACTCACATGTACAGTTGCCAGCTCAAATACTGACACTGTGCAGTATAGAGGATACCTTGGAGGCAGTAACTTCAAGTGATAAAATACTGGGCATAAATGGTCTGCAACTAGAGCAGGAGATAAGCACGATACAAATTCCAACTCACTGAAGAATAAGGGTGCACACAGGTTTTGCTGTGGAGAACTGTGATTAGAACTATGTTTGGGTGGCCTACAGAAGTGGTCTAATAGATATACACTTAGAAATGCTTGATTCATTGGCATGCCTGACAGAAAGCCTAGGGCAAAGTCAAAAATATGGTGATATCCAGCACCAACTTGGCATAGGGCATGTCATAGAGCTTGAAACTCACACTGTTTAGTGAGGGCATGATGACCAACATGACAGCAGACTGCTCTATACTACAGCACCAATGGCTGATATTTCCACTTCCATTCAATTCAAACTGAACTCATGCAGCCTCTACTTCTGTCAAAAATACTTGACTTGCTGTCATCATTGTTGTAGATGCCAGTGTTCAGAGGGGTTTGCAATCTATCCTAAAATACACAGCTAGGATTGCCTGTGAGAGTAGATGTTAACGACAACATTAGTTGTGTTCGGTTATATGCTGATGACTGGGCATTAACTGGGCTTTCACTTCTACCCCTAAATAGTTACAGATTGAAAGGTGATTGTTGGTATAGATGCTATATGTTTGTAATGAGTAAACCTGTAAATAAATTATATAAATATAACATTATACATATAATAAATGTGTGTAAAAATTGTTCTCAATTCTATCTTTCATGAGTTGACTTTCTGGATTAAAACATGTCTGCAAGGATGGTTATCTAAAGGTGAGGGTTGGAAACGAAGAAAAATAATTTCAGATAAAAGTACGGATTCAGTGGTTGCTGTAGAATGTGTAATGAAGAAATGTAAGTTCTTGGGAGATGATTACATTTTGATGTTCTCAGCTTTGGGATCTTATGAGAATTTGAAGAATGGAACAAGTATATTGGCAATAGTTAGAAGGAGTATGATCTGAAGTATTTTGAGAGATGGAAGCCAACTGTCAGATAGTGATAAAAGTTCAGATCTTCTATTAGATTTCTTGCAGGAAATTTACATGGAGATGATCGGTTAAATGTCCATGAATAATGTTATTATAAATTTGGTAAAACTGTAGGCTGTATGTTTAAGTGTGCCTTCAAAGTTTGGATTGCTCTTTCTGCCAGACCATTGCATGATGGATGGTATGGAGCTGTCCTTATATATCGAAAACCATTCGGCTTTAGGAAATACTCAAATTCCCTGCTGGTAAACAATGACCCGTTATCTATGGCCAACACTTCTAGGAGACCACATATTGCAAAAGATGCATGCAATTTTTCCATCGTCGTCTCCGTGTTTGACAAGTGAACTCTGTGCACATTCTGACACTTTCAGCAGGCGTCCACAATGACTAAGAAGATTGAGCCCATGAAAGGACCTGCCATGTCAATGTGTAACTGAGTCCAGTGTTTACCCAGCCATTCTCACAAATATGGGGGTGTTGCTGGCTCTAAGCTTTGTCCTTGTTGGCCCTCTGGGAACGGTCCAACAAAGCAGCCATGTCTGCATCCAATCCTGGCAACTAGACATATCTTGTTGCCAATATTTTCATTTTGGACACCCCTGAATGACCCTGGTGGAGTTCAGCCAGTATCTGGTAGTGACCTTTGCTTGGAACAATCATTCTTGCTTCCCATAACCATATGCCATCCTCCACTATGACCTGTTCTTTCCGTGTCCATAAAGGATTCAATTCTGGTTGTGATGGCTTTTTGGTTTCTCCCATCACCACCAGCTGTTTCACTTTTGCCAAGACTAGAACTGTGTCCAGAAAATTTAAAACCATTACAGACTCTTCTAGTGGCGGTACCACTAGCATCCGCATTTGCTACTTGGCCTTCCAGACGATGATCCAACCGTAATTATACACACTTATTATCAGAATCAACCACTGAATTCAGCCTGAAGCAATGGGCAGCATTGCATTGTTCTCTTTAAGTCGACCTAGCAGGGGTTTGTAGTTCGTTATTATTACAAATTTTCATCAGTAAAGGTATTAGTGGAACTTCCTGCCTCCAAATACAGTCACCAAGCCTTCCTTCTCTACTTGGGTGTATTTACCCTTAGCCAAAGTCCTAGATGCAGATACTATTGGGTGTTCCTCTCCATTGGGCAACCTAAGAGCTGATACTACCCCAATACCATACAAGGAGGTATTGCATGTCAATACCAAATCTCATTTGGGATAATAGTGTGCCAATACCTTAAAGGATGATATCTGTTCCTTCACTTCACTGAAAGCTATTGCTTGGCTATGCGACCATTTCCATGGCTGACCATTTTTTATGAGTTGGTGCAAAGATGCCAGGGTGGAGGCCAGGTTATGCATGAACTTTACATAATAATTCACAGCCCAAGGAAAGACCTAAGCTCCGGCATAGATGTGGGAGCCAGGGCACCTTTGATAGTCCTCACTTTATCTTCCAACAGGTCTAGTTGACTCTGTGGCCCATGTAGGTCACTTGGGATGTCTAGAACACATATTTTTCCCTTCTAAGGCACATGCCCGCCTAGAAAAAAAATCTAAGGACTATGTCCGAGTTCTCAAAGTTCTCTTCATTAGTCTTCCCTGTTATTAGCATGTCATCTAGATAAATGGTGACCTGGGGTAGCCCATGTAAAATGTTATCCATAGTTCGCTGAAATATGGTACAGGCTGATGATACCCCAAGTGGTAATCTTGTATATTGGCACAAATACTTATAGGTATTCATTGTAGCATACTCCTGGGAATCCTCAAGTAATTGCAATTGCAAGTAAACGTGGCTCATGTACAGCTTTGTGAAGGACAGCCTCTTGCTAACTTTGCGTATAAGTGCTCTATGAAAGGGTTTGGGTATTTATCCAGTTGCGAAAAGCGTTTTACTGCTTGTTTAAAATCCCCACAAAGGCAAACCAATCGTTAGGCTTCACAATCAGTACGACTGGTGATGCCCATTCTGCAATCTAGACTGATTTGATGATTTCTTTGTTTTTCAGCCTGCTGATTTTTGCTTCTGCTTTTGCCTCTAAGGCAAATGGCACTGGGCAGGCTTTGCAGAAATGTGGAATTGCTTCTTTGTCAGCATGTAAGGTGATCTTGGTTTCTTTGGTAGTCCCTAGACCTTCCTGAAAAGCTTCCAGGTATTTAATCAGGATTTAACTCAGGCAGCCATTTTCTAATCGAAAAATATTAAGCCAATCTGGATGAATCTTTCTCAATCAATTTTGCACTATGAAGCTTGGGCCTGAGCCTTTTATTACAATTAGTGGTAATTGAACCAGCTTCCCCAGTATAGGTTCTCAGTCTCGCCAAGGTCTTGTACAAGCTTAAAGGTTGGATTCCAGAGCAAATGTTGTTAAAGACTGCTTTTGCGATCACTGAAATAGCTGTGTCATATCAACCTCCATTAGAACCGGGTGACCATTTAACCAGATGTTGATTTTCATTCGTTCTGATTTGGATATTGCTAAGCAATTGAACTGTTCCAAACCAGACGTGGGTGCACTTTCGAGGGTGTGCACTGTCCTGGATACCAGCCTCAGAGATGATTGTCTTAAAGTTTGAAAGAATCATATTAATCTTGCTTGTCAGATGTTAAAATCCCTCAAAAGGTTCAGGCTATGCTTGATGGAACCTCATTGAAGAGACTAGTGAGGAGAGTGAAATCTGTTAAAAAAATAAGTTCCGCCATGTCTGATTGTTGTCTTTGTATTGCCAGGTATCATGGATCTGATGGCATGGGACAAAGACAGAAATATTTTCATGCTACGTTAGGTAGATTAGTTTCTCCACATTGATAACCAATAAGGACAAAACAATTGTTATCAATAAAATCACAGAGACATGGTTAGGAACTAGATGTGGGGCACGAATGAAGTTTTTCAACTGATAATAGAGGGATATTTGAGTGATAAGTTCAGAATGTTATGGTAGAGATTAGAGAAATGCATTGTCTTTCCATAGTCCTATTACTCCATAACCTAAAACATACTAATAGACTCATATACTCTCTCTCTCCAGAGAATCACTTTGGGGTGGGGGGGTGATAAAAAAATCTTTTTGGCAATAGATTTGATATCCGAAGGCAAAAACTGTAAGGTTCAAGATGTCAGATCACTGTCAATCTGATGTGTGTAGGTGGATGTCACCAAACATAGGCAGTTGTCTCTGGGATCTTGGTAGAAACAGCTTGCTCAGGAAAAAACATGTTTCAAAAAGCCTTCCAGTCTTCAAGAGGATAGTCTGGTTTTATACTGGATTCACAACAAACATGCTTCAGAAACGGGAGACACGAGCTGTGCAGCCTTTTCCTTAGAAGTCTACCCCAAATGAAAAGTTCTCTTATGTGGGAAACAGAACAGTTCCTTGATAATATGAGCATTCATGTCACACACAAATGATAGTTTAGAATAGCCCTTGATAAAGTAGATCATGGAGGGGTCCAACAAACAGGGCCATGGAATATGTGGACCCTTGACGTTCTGATGAATGTAACACAAGCCCGACCATGCAAATATGATAGAAAATTGTAACTGCAGTCAGATGGCTGAAACTTTGTCCTCCAACACACTCACCCCTATATCAACCAAGAATACATTGCACAGAAGATCATGTTGTCAAATACTTCCAGTTTTAAGGTGGGATGAAATCACCTCCATGCCCTTGTCCAGCCTATGAGACAATGTATTACCTTGTGAATTGTGACCCACAGGTGAAACTTTTAGAGTAACCTCTCTATACTTCTGCTTGACATGGATGTCTGAGGTCAATTTGAAATGCCAATGACAAGGTCAAAATTGCTTGTGGCCAGGATTTGTATTACATGTAGTTGATGACTGCTTGTGTTTGACATACAGAATTTTGTGATTTACAGATATTTGAAACTTGTATTGTGTAACAACCTGATTAATGCAATTATAACTATAAGGGCCTCATATCACCATGATTGCTGCTTAAGCCGCTGGTATATGCCAGGTACAGGCCCTGAGATGTGCCCATTTGGGGTGTCTTGTCACAATGTACAAAGTGACCTGGTAGCAGCAATGCAATGAAAGGTGGCGGTGCTCTCCAGAATGTAGTATCGAAGTGGTGAACTATATTGTACGTGCGTTTGCAACCAAACCCATCGGCTTGGTGAGCATGTCTACAACCTCATCCACAACCTGAGCTATAAATCTTCTCAAAAACTTTAAATATTGTAAGTGCGTTAGGGATATGGAGGTGCCGCGAGTGGTTGAAAGATAAAAGATCCTATGAAGTATACCCATGAGATGTTGGGACTGCTGGCCAGGATGGAGCCCAGAAGAGCAAGTGGCCAGCCAGAACTGCCAGTTATTTATTCAGACTTTCATGTCTGGAATTGTCACTTTGCACTCTCCACCACATGGGAGGTAGCATATTGCATATAAATAAGGTAAGAATAGGTAATAACAAGAAGTTAATACATGCAAAGAGGCCACCAACTGGGTGAAAATCAGACTTTTTCTTGACATTGAGAATGTTCTTTTGTCAATCGTACCATGTTTATTCAACTGACTTACCATTAACCATGTTATTAAGGAGCTGGGAACATTCTACCCATTAATACTCTTTGCCTTCTCAAACTGCCTGAAGGTAGATGCTGCTTTATCTACTCAGTATTTATAGTACATTCTGAAATATTATGCATTTCAGTAAACTAGCATACTGTGAAGAAGATTCTGTGTATGATCTCCGGGTGTCACTATTAATACTTAGATTTGGGTAATTAATTGCATATGTTGTATCATTTGGCACGGGAGTTCGGAGGCATAAGGCTGCTCAATACTGTAATGATCAGAGCCATACCAAATCAATATTTATTGTAAAATTCTAAAGCAGAACAACAGGTTTGACCGAGGATTCATGATAAGCATCAAGTTGATAATCAAATCTAAATTGGCTGGGAGGGGCAAATAGGAAAAATGTTATTTGATCTTCAAGATAATAAGACGGAGCGTTGTTAAAATGCTGTATATTGATGCTGTAAGAGTGAGGAGAAAATTTGCAATTGGCCTTTAATTTTTCACCTTCAGTAATTTCTTAAACATGCAGATGAAATTTTTTTCACTGATTTGTGTTCTAGGTCTACAGAATGCCTTATTATGATAACTGTGTCCGAGATACATGTGGTTGTGAACTAGCTGGAGATTGTGAGTGCCTCTGTGATGCTGTTGCAGTCTATGCTAAAGCATGTATAGATGCTGGAGTCTGTATTGACTGGAGAACGCCTGACTTTTGCCGTAAGTAATTCTTACTACACAAGTTCTTGAAGAGACGGTAGTCCTGATCATAAAAACTTTTAAATTGAAATAGTGAGTAGTGATTGGAACCAGGTGGACCCGCTGACTATGAGGTTGTTGATTGGGGTTGTTAACCCGGGCCAATTGGGAAAGCCCTGGCTGACCAATGTAACCAGGAGATTAGAATTTCCTCAGTTCAAGCGACTGACTCCTAGCAGTCTGGCCACAGCCAGGGTACTGTGCACAAATAAATAAAGGATGACTTGGTGAGGGAATACCAGCCTCTGTGCAGTTACTTCACAGTCCAAAGATGGATGTTGAAGATTTCAAATGAAGGCTCTGTGACTATTTTTTGCTCATTTTCATAAGATGACTGTGTAGAATTATGATCCTGAGAAGGGAAGGATATATACTGAACTAAGTTACCACAGAGTGAAGAGTCACTCTTAGACCCAGATCAAAATGATTGGAATAAAACCCTGAGGAGGTTATTTAAAGCTGACTACATTGAAGTTCAGGTCTATGATAGCTCCAGGAAGAATTTATTTGCTGTCCTACCTAGTCTAAACATTGAAGTTACAAATAAGTTAAATTATTGGTATTATGTAGACTCTGGTATAGTATAGAGGTGGTGCTCTGGAGAATATACATAAACTGTTTTGTTCCTTGTTGATTTTTAAATTTGAGATTAATTGAATTATACTTCTACTGAGTGTTTAAAAATCTTTGAATTTGTATTATAAGTAGATAATTTGGATCATTCTATTCCAATGTCATTTCTTTTGTAATAAACATTATTTTAATGCAAAAGCAAAATCTGCAGTGTTGATGCTTATTTTTTAACTAGAACCCACTTCATAAAAACTAAAACAAATAAAAATATAATCTGTCATGCCAGTGTATTGTTTGAAATTTGACTTATCCAGTAATAACATCATAAACATAAATTTTTGTGTTTTATTTTGAAAGCATATTGGCTGCTTCTTCTGAATATGTTCAGAGACATATCCCCACATTAAGCAAACTGCAAGTGTAAAAACATATGGACTATTACATCATGTTTCACTCTGGGATTTAATTTGTCAAGTATTGCTGTCAGATCATAAGACAAGGAATGATAAAACTGCAGTTACCTGGCTTAGTATAGCCGACAGATCACCAACTAGTGGGAAGGATGTAAAGGAACAAATCTGCAAGGACATTACAGAGAGATGCAAACATTACAAAGTAGTTATAATTGGGGACATTAATGTAAATTGTGATAGTGGTAATTCAAAAGGCAGAGAGGGAAAAGCATTACTAGATTGTATTCAGAAGAAATTTCAACAGCAGTATTTGCCCAGTCTGAGAGGAAGGGGAATCACTGTTAGATCTTGTTCTTAGAAATGACGTGGACTCTAATAATATGGAGTATCATTGGGGAAAGATTGAGTGAACAGTAATCTTTGTTTCATAAGGCTTGGGATGATTGTGGGGGATAAATAAGTGAACAATCCAGAGTAAGAATAATTAACTGTGGGCGAACTGACTTCAATTATGCAGAATGAAGCTGTGTCAGATAGACTGGAGTGAAGGGTTGGAATGAAAGTCTATAGCTGAACAATGTGCTCCGTTCAAAGAAGAGATAGTTTGAGTGCAGTTAGATTATATTGTTTGAAAAAGGAAAGATTGGGCAAACAAATTCAGAACTCCCTGGATGAAAAAGAAGATAAAATTAAGATAAACATGGAAAAGTATGCTTCTAACAGATTTGAACCTTTATTCTTCACTGATTAAAAATCTTTCTATCTCAATCTTGAATATGCATAAGCACCCAGCTTCAACAACCATCCGTTTTATAGATTTCCATATTCACCACCCTCTGAGAGAAACACTTCTTCCTCATCTCTGTCTTAAAAGAGCCCTAAAATTTATGCCCTCTGGTCCTAGACTGTCTGCAAGAAGAGACAACCTTTCTGCATCCAACTGCCTGTTATCTGCCAACTTTTTGTGATTTATGATCATAGATCATCGTCTTATGATCATACAATCCCTACATTATCAAAGCACGCCAATGGTCCCATCGAGTCTACACCAATCCTCTGAAGAGCATCCCACCCAGACCCACCCCCTTACCCAATCCCTGTAACCCTGCATTTCCCATGGCTAGCCCACGTAGCCTGCACATCCCTGGACACTGTGGACAATTTATTATGGCCAATCCACGTAACCTGCACATCTTTGAACCACAGGAGGAAACCAGAGCACCCAGAGGAAACCCACACAGACATGGAGAGAATGTGCAAATTCCACAAAAACAATTGCCCAAGGATGGAATCGAACCTGAGTCCCTAGCTATGTGAGGCAACAGTACTAATTACCATGCAGCCCCTAATTCATGCATGAGGACTCCCAAATCCCTCTCTACTGCTGCTTTCTACAGTCTTTCCCTATTTAAATAATAACCAGCTCTTCTTTTCTTCTTGCAAAAGTGCATAATCACACATTTTCCCCACATTATATTTCATTTGTGAAGATTTTGCCCACTGACTTAACCTGGCTGTACCCCTCTACGGATTCTGTGACCTATTCTCACTCCATGCCTTACCATTTATTTTTGTGTCATCTGCAAACTTGGCAATAATTGTGGCCCCAACTCTAATCCCTGTGGCACTCCACTAGTTACAGCTTGGCATCCTGTCAAATGCTTATTTATCCCAACTCTGTCTTCTATTAGCTAACCAGTCCTTTATCCATGATACTATACTACCTCCAACATCATGTGCTCTTATCTTACTAAGTAGCCTTATGTGAGGTACCTTATTGAATGCCTTTTGTAAGTTCAGATATATTAATCTGTTGGATCTCCTTTATATACTCTGCTTGTTACTTCCTCAAATAATTAACAAATTTGTCGCACATGTTTATCCCTTCATTAAGCCATACTGACTCTGCTTGATTTTATGATGTTTTTCCATATATTTTGCTGTAACATCCTATATAATAAAATCTAATATTTTCCCAATTATATACGTTAAGCTAACTAGCATTTAGTTACATTTTTGTCACCTTCCCTTTTCAAATAAAAATGTTACATCAACTGTTTTCAAAACTACTAGGACTTTTCCAGAATCTAAAAATTCTCGGAAGGTTACTACCTGTGCATCCAGCACTTCTGTATATACTTCTTTAAAACCCTATGATGCAGCTCATTGAGTCCAGGGTCTTATCAGCCTTTAGCTCCATTAGTTTCCCTAGTACCTTTTCTCTAGTTATAGTAACTGTGTTTATTTTCTTGCCCCAATCCTCTCTGTTAGCCCCTTGTTCATTTAGTATGTTTGAACTGGTAGTATTATCATCCTCTGTGAAGACTGAAGCAATAAATTTGTTCGACTATAGGAGAAATGTTGTGAAACTTGAAAGGGTTCAGAAAGGATTTACAAGGATGTTGTCAGGGTTGGAGTGTTTGAGCTATAGGGAGCGGCTATATAGGGTGGGGCTTTTCCCCTGGAGTGCCAAAGGCTAAGGGTTTACCTTATAGAGGTTTATAAAATCATGAGGGACATGGTTAGGGTGAATTGCCAAAGTCTTTTCCTCAGGGTGGGGAGTCCAAAACTGGAGGCCATAGCTTTAAGGTGAGAGGGGAAAGATTTAAAAGAGCCCTAAGGGGCAACCTTTTTATGCTCAGAGGTGGTGCGTATATGGAATGAGCTGCCAGAAGAAGTGGTGGAGGCTAGAGTAATTACAACATTTAAAAGGAATCTGGATAGGTATATGTTTAGGAAGGGTTTAGAGGGATATGGACCAAATGCTGGCAAATGGGACTAGATTTATTTTGGATATCTGTTCAGTGTGGACGAGTTGGACCAAAGAGTCTGTTTCTGTGGTGTATATCTCTATGATTAGCTCCTCTGTCATGTCCTGGATCCCCATTATTATTTCTCCAACCTTTTTCTGTAAGGTCTGTTGTATCTCCTTTCCTTTCTAAATGTTTAAATAAGCTCTTATTGCCTGTATTTATGTTACTTCCTAATTTGCTGTCATAGTTTATTTTGTCGTTCCCTGTTTCTATTTGGTCATTTTTTGTTGGCTTTTAAAACTTTCCCAATCCTCTGAGTTACCACTAATCTTTGCCACATTCTATGATTTTTCGTTCATATTGATGCTGTCCTTCACTTCCTTGGTTAACCCTGGTTGGTTTATCCCCTTCCTAGAATCCTTCTTCCTCCCTGGGATATACCTTTGCTGTGAGTTATGAACTTTTTTTTGAATATCTGTTCTTCAACTGTCTTTTCTGATAAACTCCTCTTCTGGTCTATTTCAGCCAACCCTACCCTCATTCTCATGTATTCACCCTTATTTAAATTTAGCTGTTATGTTTCCAATCTAAGTTCTCACTCTGAAAATAAATGCTAAATTCTACCATGTTATGGTTACTGTTACATAGAGGATTTCTTTTCTCTCTGGGATCATTTCGTAAACCTGCCTCACTGCTCATTAGCAGATCCAAAATAGACTTATCCCTGGTTGGAGCATAACTTTTTGTTCTCAGAAACTATCCCAAATACCTCTACCTTCCCAATTTACATGAAGACTAAAGTCACCCATGATTAATGTATTGTCTTTTTTACATGTCTGCATTATCTTGTGATTTATTCTCTGTCCTACAGAACAGCTACTGTTAAAGAGCCTACTGACTACTCGTTCCAGTGTCTTCTTCCCCTTGTTACTTTTTACCTTGTTCCATAGAGATACCACATCTTCCGATCCAAAATTGTTTCTTACTAACATGCTAATCTTGTACTAATAAAGCCACTACACTACCCTTCCTTTGCTGCCTGTCCTGCATATTAACTTCTACTTGTGCTTCTAATTAATTTATTTCATTAATGATTACTACACACATTAAAGCAAAGAGCTATTAATATAGCCTTATTACCTTTAATTCGCCCTTTTCCCCTAATTGCCGCTTTTGTTTATGTTTCTGGACAGTGTCCCTTCCTGCAAAATAAAGTACAGGCGGAGCTGCAATTTGGGATACAATGAATAGTTACATGACCAAATGTATGAACTAAGGATACCCAGAATAATTTCTTAATGTAAAATTGTATTTAATTACCTTGGTGTTTCTTGAAGAGATAACAGAGAGGGTTGGTGAGGGTAATGCTGATGCTTTAGGCACATTGACTTCTCAAAGGTGGTCAATACAATGCCGAACAACAGGCTGTGAGCCGAGTTATTAGCTCATAAAGTAAAAGGGACATTAGCATCATAGATAAAAATTGTTTGAGTGATAGGAAATAATGGTATCAGTTAATAGATATTATGTAAAATATGTTACATAAATGCAAGTCTTTTTCTTTTCAAGAGTAACCATGAGGAGCTCAATAAAGCAGTGAATCTCACTGGTTATATCCCACTTGCCACATGAATTTGATCTCTAAGTGTCTACTAATTCAAATGAAAAATACAAATTAGACAAAAAATCTATTGAAACACCCATGAAAGCATAGCATGCATGTTTTCTTTAGGTTTCAATTCAAAATAACAAACTAATTGAGTGAAACAGCTTTTCAGCTAAGAGAAATTGACAATATTGTAATATATTGTGTACATATGTACCAGTTTATTTATGTCAGCATTAACAGAATTAATAAAGCTGTTTGTTGATCCTATCAGTATTGTATCATTTCAGAAAGCTGTACAGGCATCTACAGCAAACTGTAAAATAGTGTCAGTAAGTTATAATTTAGTAAATTAGTAAATAGTATTAATACTTCTAGTAAATTCTTTAATGGTCTTTAACAAAATGAAATGGTTTTGAATTGTGTGCTGAATATTCACTGGTTTGATGGTAAAAGATTACAAGATACAAAAATAGAAGCAATATTGGGTATCCTGAAACAAAAATAATAGAGTTAGAAATACACAACAGATCTAGAAGCAACTGACAAAGCTTTGTTCTGTGAAAGTATCTTGACCCACACTGTTGACACAGTTTTGTGCAAAATAATTTTTTTTAAATATTGCGTATTAATTACTTACAACTTATTTCAGCTGTATACTGTGACTATTTCAACTATCACAAAGAGTATTCTGTTGTGGGTGAATCTTCTTGGAATTCCACAAATAGGTGGCATTATCAGCCATGTTTGTGCCCTGCCAACATACATATGTTTGGCAAGTTCAATATGGAAGGTAAGAACATTGTTTATCTGGTAAATTGTAATGAATTATTAGCCAGTATTGTAGATTTTTAAGCCTTTCAGTTTAGAAAGAAGGCAAGTGAGATGAGCCTATTTGAAGTAAAATTGTAATTACTTCTTGAACTTAAATAAATAATGTAAATATTTATTGCTTATTTGTGCAAATAACCATGGGTCTATTTCCTGCAACCCAACATATGTGCTACAAGAAATTTCAATGGGTTAAATTTTAAATGTACATTCAGATTTGTTGAATGCTACTTAAAAAGTTGTTTGTTCTTTGGAGGTATGCATGACTGAATGCTTCAGCAGTCAACAGCAAGCTATTGGATTTTTTTTAAAGGTTGCTACATTTGTGATAAATATGAATTCTTCCATGAAGAATTAAGACGCTGTATACCATGCGGTAAGTCAAGAGCCTTTTCACATTTCTTGGCTAAGTGATTATATATCTCATGAAATAGCTGCAGGAGGAGGCACCTAAATCCATCAGACCTGCTTCGAGCTTCAGTAAGATCATGGCTGACCTGATTGTGACTTAAGTCAATATTCCTGCCTCTACTCTATAACTTGATTCCCTTTTCAATCAGAAATGCAATGATCCAGCATCCAAGGCTCTCTCTCTGGAAGAGAATTTCAAAGACTAAAAATCCTCTGAGAAGAAATTCTTCTTCATTTGTATCTTTAATGGAAGACCCTTTATTTATAAACTGACTCCCTAGTTCTGGATTCCACCATGAAAGGAAGCATTTCTCCACAATTACCCTGCCAAGCCCCTTCAGAATCTTGTACCTTTCAATAAGATCACCTCTCTTTCTTCTAAACTGCAAGTTGTATAGACTCAAATTTTCTCATAAGACAATCTCTTCATTACAAGAATCAACTGAGTGAACCATTTTTCTAAAAACATTTCAATACAAGTAAAGAGATAATACAGTGTGGAGCTGGAGGAACACAACAGGCCAGGCAGCATCAGAGGAGCAGAAAAGCTGATGTTTTGGGTCGGGACCCTTCTTCAGAAAAAGGGTCTGAAGAAGGGTCCCGACGTGAAACGTCAGCTTTCCTACTCCTCTGATGCAACCTGGCCTGCTGTGTTCCTCCAGCTCCACACTGTGTTATGTCTGACTCTTAAGATCGGCAGTTCTTACTACCCCCAAACAAAGTAAAGCCCTCCTTACATAAGGAGATCAAAATTGTCCACAGTATCTCAGATATAGCCTCACCAATGTCCTGTACTGTTGTAGCACAACTTGCTTACTTCTTTACTCCACCTTCACTGCATTAAAGGCCAAGACTCCATTTCCCTTCCTAATTACTTGTTGTACCTCATGCCAACATTTTGTGATTCAATTGCAAGGACACCCTGAATACTCTGTAGCATAGCATTCTGTCTCACTCCACTTAAAATAAAGTGAGATAGAATGCGGACCCTACATTTTACCACACCATATTCTCTCTCACAAATTTGTGCCCATTCATTTAACCTATATATATTCTTTTCGAGACTTAGAGTCATAGAGATGTACAGCACAGAAAACAGACCGTATGGCCCAACTCATCCATGCCGGTCAGATATTAGTCTCATCCCACTTGGTACATATCCCTTCCAATTTCTGTACCCATCCAGATGCCTTTTAAATGTTGTATTTGTACCAGCCTCCACCACTTCCTCTTGCAGTTCATTCCATATTTGCACCGCCCTCTGCGTGAAAACGTTGCCCCTTAAGTCCCTTTTAAATCTTTGCCCTCTCACTTTAAACTTATGCCTTCTAGTTTTGGACTCACCTACCCTGGGGAAAAAGTCTTGACTATTCACCCTCTCCAAGCCCCTCATGATTTAGTAAACTTCTATAAGGTTACCCCTTAGCCTCAGGGAAAACAGCCCTCGTCTATTCATCTTCTCCCTATAATTCAAACTCTCCAACTCTGGCAACATCCTAGTAAATCTTTTCAGAACCCTTTCAAATTTCACAACATCTTTCCTATAGCAGGGAGATTCTTGGCTGAATTCCACCAAAATTCAGCTAAGTGTTAATTTTGTGGAGCTCATTGGATGTTTTCTGTCTGTGAACTCAAGCTCATACATCACACAATACACTGCTCATCTCATCATCTATACATCACACCTCTACATTGCTGAGTTCATGCTATTATGCACTCATCAATGGCAGAAGTACTTGATGCTGCTGGAACCTTTCAGGATTTGACCTGCCTGCACCATACTTGATGCCGAGATGTGTGTCAGGTTAAACACTGCCAGCCAAGAATACACCTTCACTGTACATGTAGTGGGGGGGAATGAAAAAAGAAAAGCTTCTGACGGTATGTAGGTTACACAGGTGACACTTTATTGGCAGTGGAATCTCTCACTTGTAAACATTTTGCCTCTTTACATCTGGATTACATCTAATTGACTTTCATAGTAATTGCAGATACAAGCATGAAGGTACAGAGGCAACCTGTTGTCAGTACCATATAGTGCGAGAGCCCTGTCTGAAGGAGCTTCACTCTGCTTCTGAATACAGTTAGCATAACGTCATGTCATTGTTAAATGTGGAAGCATCACAAGTTGTGAAACTTTAAAACAGTTGATGATGTTAACTTTTATTGAACAGGAAATATGAAGAAAAATCAAACAGTAAAAGTTGCACTTAATTCTCAGAATCAACAGGGGCTGCTTGCCTTTTTAGCAACAACGAATTTGCTGTCAACAAATGCTGTCACCCAACCTGCAGCAATTGGAAAAGGGTGCCAAGTAAGTCCCCTCCAGCTTGTTGTACCCGACACTGAACCAGTCTTCATCCAGAACGTATTGTTCCTCCGGCTCAATGTCTCATCCTCCTTAGAAGATGGCTGCTGCTCTCCCAACTCTTCAGCATCTGTCATTTTGCGCAGAGCAAAGCATGCAAGGATTATGTGGCCCTTCTGTCTGAGATTTTATACAAAGTCCCCATCAGATCGACCCCAAAATCGAATCCCATCTTCAGGATTTCAATCATTCCACCATGGCCCTGCTGGAAGAATAGGCCGCATTGTACCTGTGTTCAGCCTCAGTCAGGACATTGCATAACTGACTCATCAGCCAGGGTGCAGAGGGTAACACTTGACTCCCAGCAGCCAAACTTGTAAAATATCAGTAGCCTGAAATGAAGCAGCAGTCTGAGAGTCATCAAAGATATGGGCATCTTGGCAGCATCCAGCATATTTGGAAAGGTGTGGCACCGATGATAATATGACTTAGACAGTTTCAAGATAAACTCTTTTCTATAAACGAAGTATGCTGCATTATGACATGATGCTTTCAAAGCAGTGTGTCTACAACCTATAGCCTCTGACCTGCTCTGGCCACAGTATTTATATAGAGTCCAGTTCTATTTCTGGTCAATGGTAACCTCCAGGATATTGCAAGTGAGGGATTCAGAGATGGTAACACCATTGAATGTTAAGGCGTGATGCTTAGATTCTGTCTTGTTAGAGATCATTATTGCCCAGCACTTGTGTGGAGCAGATGTTACATGCCACCTGTAGCCCAAGTCTTGTCCTTGTCTTGCTGCATTTGGATATGGACTGCTACAGTATTTGAGGAGTTGCGAATGCTGAACAATCATTTGCAAACATCCCCAGTTCTGATCTTATGATGGAGGGTGTTCATCGATGAAGCATCTGAGGATGCTTGGGCCTAGGACACATCCCTGAAGAACTCTTGCATAAATGTCCTGGAGCTGCATTGACTGACCTCCAACAATCAAAACCAACCTCTTTTGTGCTAGGTATGACTCCAACCAGCAAAGCGTTTTCTCCTTGATTCCCAGTGACTCCAGTTTGTTAGAGCTCCTTAATGCCACACTCAAACATGGCTTTGATATCAAGGGCAGTCATTCTCACTTCATCATTAGAATTCAGTTCTTTTGTCCATATTTGAACCAATGCTGTAATGGTGCCAAGAATGAGTGGCCTTGGCAGAATACAAACTGAACACTAGTGGGCAGGTCATTGTTGAGCATATGCTACATGACAATACTCTTCGTGAACTCTTCCATCACTTTATGGATGATCAAAAATCGACTACTGGGGCAGTAATTGGCTAAATTCTGTCCTGCTTTTTGTATACAGGACACACTTGGGCAGTTGTTAGACAGATGCCAGTGTTTTAGTTGGCTGCGTCCTACTGCCAGTATATGGTTAGGGCATAGTCTTTGAAGTATCCAGTGCCTCCAGCCAATTCTTGATGTCAAGTTGAGTGAATCAAATTGGCTAAAGTCTGGCACCTGTCATGCTGGGGACCTTTGAAGGAGGCTGAGATGGATCATCCACTCAGTACTTCTGGGTGAAGATTATTGCAAATGCCTAATTTTTTGCACTGTTGTGCTGTGCTCTATGTTACAGAGAGAAGGAAGGAGATTGGGGTTGAGAAACGTAAAAGCCACAGACAAGTTGCGTAACAGACTTGTAAGGTCATATGACCTAATTCTACTCATATATGGTGTTATGGTTCCGTATCATTGAGGATGGGATATTTGTGGAACCTTCTCCTTCAGTGAGTTGTTCCATTGTCCACAACCATTCACAATGTGATGTGGCAGGAGTGCAGACCTTAGATCTGATCCGACAATTGTGAAATTGTTTAGCTCTGTCTGTCACTTGCTGATTATGGTATTTGGCATACATGTAATCCTGTGTTGTAGCTTAACTAGATTGACGCTTTACCTTTTTTGGTATGCCTGTTTCTCCTCACAATATGCTGTCCTGTATTCTCCATTAAACCAGGATTGATACCCTGGCTTGATTTTAATAGTGTTGAGAATATGTTGGGCCATGAGGTTTAAGATTGTGTTTGAGAACACTTCTGCTGGTGCTGCTTGACAACTGGACCTCATGGACCCCCAGTCTTGAGTGTAAATGATTATTCTCTGCAAAAAGAAGAATGCAAGTAATGGAATGAATTCCCTGCGAATGAATGGCAGATTATTCACTGTCAGCAGAATGCCAGTC